GAAGATCACCATAAGACTCGACGAGTTGAAGAACAACTTGGCGAGTCGGATGAGTTTTCCCTAGGATATGTATGCGTGTGTATCCGTCGAGTTGTAAGGAGGGAACTCGACAGATGGCCTGAAATTTTGATCGGAAATCGATGGAACTCGACGAGTCACCCCGATGACTCGGCGAGTGGGATGTGCTTCAAGGCACTCGGCGAGTAGCCGAGGATACTCGGCGAGTTGGGGTCAACATGGACTGTTGACCTTGACTGAGGACTTTGACTTTGAACAGGGGCTGACTGGTGGATTATGGAGTACCTTATATGGTTAAGTACTTATGGGTATATTGTATTATGGTCATAGGTGGTGGAGCCTGTGTCAAGTGATCCGAGAGTTGGAGTTTATCTTCTGAGTCGACATCTGCGAGGTGAGTTATCCTCACTTTATCGATAGGGTCTACGGCACCAAGGCCGGCCCTTTATGATTTACATCCGGGTTTAGGATGGTTGCTATGTTAGATTTCATCCTGGTTTAGGATGGTTGCTATGCTAGAGATCGGTTAGATCGGTTGTTATGGTATGCTACATATGAATTTTGGTCTGTTAGATCGGAATCAGGATAGATAGTATGTTATGTTTTTATGATCCGTAAGGATTAGTATGTAGTGACCTGCTAGGTCGGTACTCTAGTTACGAGAGGATTCTATAGTTGATGATCAGTGTGACAGATATGTTGATGTTTGTATATGCTAGTATGTGATAGTTATGCGCACATGGTTAATTGCTTGTTGGTTGGGTTGAGGCGGTCCTGCTTTGTGCTGAAGGCCAACATACCCTACGAGCGGTCCGGGGAGGCTGCAGGCCCTCGAGGCGGACCAGTCATGCCGAAGGCTCGGGATAGATTTAGATAGACTGCAGGCCCAGTAGGGCGGTCCAGTCAGGCCGATGGCCCAGTATGCATGATTGTTTGATTGATTGTTACTGATATGATATTGTCAGTGTGATATTGATATTTTGGGGGTAGCTCACTAAGCCCTTGGACTTACAGTTCTCAGTTATTGTTTCAGGTACTTCAGGAGATCGTGGCAAAGCAAAGGCGTGACCGTACCGCTCCTCATCCTTATGTTATGATTTTGGGACACTCTGATGGATATTGATTTGAAAACATTTTGTAAACAATACTATTTGACTTTTATTTATGATTTAAAAAGTTTGAATTTGGCGTGAAATTTATGGGTGTTACAGATGTCATGAAAGATGTTATCGAACATGATTCACATCAAGGTTAGGATTAAAAATACTTGATAATGTATTTGATTAGTGGGTTGATTAGCATTATGTTTTATCTCTTACGAGTCAAATGGATAAAATGAAAAAAAAATGGGAAAAAGAAATGGTTTGAATGTTAAATGGATCGAAACTTTTTGGTTAGGATTATATGTTAGTATAATGAATTTCTATTTTGTTTTCAGATACAGAAATGGAGGTGGAAATGTTTCTGGAACCACATCAAAGAAAAGCAAGAAAAGGAAATCTAAAGATAATGAGGCTAGTGATGATGGTGATAAAGAAAATACAGTGGTTACAAACAAAAATCTAAGTCTGAAAAGAAGTCATTGCTTGAAGAAAGAATAGAGCCCAATGAGAATGGTGAAGACGCTATTAAAAAAAAAAAAAAAAAAAAAGACGTTGATATGGAGGATGGTGCTTCTTCTGCTAGTGAAGACAAGAAGGAGAAGAAGAAAATTTTCAACGCCACTCCAATCACATGCAACCAACACCATTGACCTCGTTGAAATTGAAATCGAAGGTCAACCACACCCCCTCACACCCTTTCATGCTAACTGTTCACACCGGTGATGGTGAATGAGAGCGACAGGAATGGAGAGGGTTTGGTGGGTTTGAAAGGGTATGTGGAGTCCTTTGTAAATTAATATTCTTATAAATTATAATTTAATAAAAAAATAATACAGCAATCTCTTCATATAGGTCAATATTAAAACGTACTGTTATCATAAAAAAAAACATTAGGAAATGGTCTTAACACGTTTTGCTGACACATGACAATAAATTACAAAAAATATTGCTTTCAATTTTAAATTTGGTGATTTTTAAACTAGTGGTGATGGTGAAGGAGCCAGGAGGGCGACGGGAGAATAGAGAGGAATGGTTTGGGTGCGGTTTAAAGGGTCTCTAGGGTCCCTTATAATTTAATATTATTATAAATTATAATTTAATAAAAAGGATAAAAAAATGACATTACAATCTCTTCAAGTGGGTCAAAATTAAATACTCAAGACCCTCATCATCAGAAAAAAAATATTAGGAATTGACCCCATAACTTTTTGTATTACAAAGCACAGACCAATCACATAATTTTGTCTTTTGCAAATAATAAAGCCCGTGCTTCGTGATTAAAAAGTTTATGCATACGTCAATTTCTACCAATTTTGTTAGTTTTGCATAGACTTTTTTTGTTAAGTATTCAAGGGCCGTTTGTTCCTTGAGGTTTTACTAGTCACTAGAGAACATTTTTATCTATCATACCAGATGATAACAACGTTTGAATTATATTCAAAAATACTGGTTTTTATTTTCATGGGAATTTTCCTTATGCAATAAAAGCTGGACCTGCTTTTCTTTCCACATCAAGGTTTAAGGCCCAGGGTGTGTTTGGATTTTGCAAATTTTGGAAGACATGAACACTTCAATTGTTACGTTTTCATCACAACTCTCATTGTGGCCTGTACAAATGTATAACAAAGACAATTAAAAAGTGTTTTATTTGGGATCTTCACACCTTGATTTATTTTGGATCCTGCTCACTAAGCAATTTCAAGATCCATCCACACGAGAAACTACATGCATTATCATCCACATATCTCCTGAAAACATGTATGTCTTGTAGAAGCTACATACCATCAACATGAGATACCACTGTTTGGATAAGGAAGTTGACACAGACTAATTAAAGCAACCATATGTATGACGAAATAGATTAGGAATCATATCAAAGATATGCATATTTCAGGTCCCAATATGAAATACCATCCACATGAGAAGCCGTTGTTTGGATAAGGAATCTGGGAGTGACTAATTGAAGCGATGGCGAAATAGATAAAAGACCGCGATACAGGTTATTAGCATAAGGGGTGGGATCTTCAGAGAGATGTCTTGGAAGAGCAGAACGAAATTGTGTAGGAATGCTAAAGTCTGGAACATGAAAGATATGCCAAGTACTATTTCAGCCGACTTGAGCTTGTGAAGTGATGAAGAGAAGAAATCACGTTCAACATAGCTAGAGCGAACTATGGATAACGAAATGAAGATTGCGGTGTAGGCTAATAGAAGAGAGGTACCATTCCATATAATGGACCAGTTCTTTTGATGAAACATAAACGTACTCTTGCCTGTGTCTTTTCCGTATCTGCCTACAAATGCAATATCAATCACACAAGATATGATGGCTATAGCTGATGCAACCACCATTAATTCAAGAGATGTCTTTTCCACAGAATCTACAGCTTTGGAAAGTAGCTCTTTATGATTCTTGGTGAACAATTCACGTGGCCTTAGGTCAGCTTTATTCTTCTTTTCCCTAAGTGAGGGAGGGAGCATATCTGAAACCATCTATAAACACATAGATTAGGTAGTTATGATCAAAGACCATATCAATCATTATAAAATAATAGGCGCCACATGAAAGATGTAGCTTTCCCATCCCACTTAATATTGATCTCAATTTTATTGTCTTGCGTCAATATTTCTTTGGTATTGTCATGCTAAAACCTCAACTCTAGGCACATTTTTTTTACCTTTAACATGCATTTTACATATAATAAACTGAAAGAAGGTATTTTGTACAAAAACTAAATCTAAAGTCAATTGCATTTGTGAGAATGAAAAGACACAAAGAGAAAAAATGCTGAAACACTTACCTTGAACCATTGTCGTTCTCGTTCCATATGTACAGCTGGTCCTTGAAGGTACTGTGATTGACTATCCATCAACGGCTCCTTTCGGATTCCAACAAAATGCAACAAATTATTTCCATTTTTGTCTTCAAGATTAATTATTGAATCCTTGATTGAGCCTATGCCATGCAATAAGTTGTAGATTCCAAGATGACGATTTAAGACAGCAATGTGAAATATACTTTGCTTATTATCATTTAACTCTACTACTAGTTGAGGATAATGATGGATTAGCTCATTTACAAATACTGTGTTGCCTAATTCTGCAGCTACAAATAGGACACTGGATGAAGATATTCCTTCCATAATCTGATACAAAGAACCACTTGGCATGTCATCAAGTTCATGTTTGGGAATATTTGGCAAAATGGTTCTAAGCAACTGCACTGCTTGATTTCCCTCATCAACATGCCCATCATTCGCATCGTATTGATAAACTAAGAAACCAAATAAATGATATTAGACTATATTACATTTTTGGTGCATGTGTTTAGGTGTTCATTATGGATCATGTCCAAAAAAAAAATGTTGCAGATTTGGTCCCTATTGGAAAGTTTCATAACAATTTTAGTACCCATCACATGTTAAAGGACTATTCTGCCCCTTATCTGTTTTATTTGCATTTTTTTATTTATTTAATGTTGAAACTTTAAACATAAACATTAGTAATTTAAGTTGTAGGGGTAAGGGATGCATATTGACTGAGAATATATATATATATATATATATATATATATATATATATATATATATATATATATATATNNNNAGCATGTGGCTTGTTTACTTGTTCAACTATTGACTTGACTATAGTAAGGAAATTCTTTGGCAATATTTATTTCATTAAATGGTAACAAAAGGTCAATTATGTTCGTTCCAGCATGCTACCAAAAATATTTATTATAATGTTTATATTGAATTCTAAGTTCAGTTCCATTATTTATGTGTGTGTATATATAAATATTAAGGAGTAGAGATTTTTACTGTATTTTTGAATCGGATTATATTTTTTCCCAAATGCATGAGGTTTTCGAGCAAGAATTGCAAGAATTCTGAGGATAATGCGTTCACTCACTGCAAGTTCAGGACAATCCTTCACAATTTGTTGTGCCACATCTGCAAAGTATTTGATGCTTAGAATAAGAGTTTATTGTGGAAAGAGATCAAGAGAGTAAAATCTAGCTACCGAATAGCTCAGCTTCAACACACGCCAAGAGCACACCACCTCGACTCTCTTCTGTCGAGCCTTTCATTCTTTCAGACTTTCCCTGAAGATTTGCCAACATATCAAAGGGTCCACAAAAATCTGCCATTTGGAGTGACAACTTTCCATCATTGCCTTCATGTTTGTCTAAAATGACCTTAGCAGCTTTCGTTGATGCTTTGAAAAGGTCTAAACCGGCCTTATCAAATTCCTCTGAGCTTTCTCTTGATGTGTTCATTTCTATAGAAGCAAACTACAATCCAAATTAAGTCACAATAGTAATAATCAAAACCAAATCAGAAAACTGTGAGAAACAGATATGAAATCACCTTAAAATGGGGGGATGTGATTTCTATTAGGTTCAATGTAGCTCTGTTTGTATGTATTGCCTACAATTTTTTCCTTCTGCGTCTCAATCATGAATCCTAATATCAAACATAATTATAAAATTAAACTAAATTAAAACCCCACAATTCAAAAACATAAAATAACCAAACCCAAACACACATCGGATTTCATTCTCAAACCCAAATTTATGCAAAGTGATAAAATTACCAAATTTGACAGTCGGTAATTCAAGCCGAAATCCGTAAAACTGATTACCTGATGGATGGCTGTAAAATGAGGTCAAACTAACGCACATTCTTCGAAGGTCCGGCGGCCGCTGACGGATTGCGTAACTGGTAAGGCGCTCTCACGGTGGCTACGCCCTCTCTCTTTGCAAAAAGCTTAACGAGTTTCGACCTTACGGTTCGTTGACCACAAATCAACTAACAGAACTCCAAAAAGATCTTATGGTACGTTGACAACTAATCAATTAGATCTTACAGTTCACCACAAATCAACTAGATCGGTTCGTTGACAGCATCAGAACACAAACAAGATCAGAAAGTTATCTGCTGTTAGAGGGAACGACGGAGAGAGCTCCATTAGGGTTATGCTCAACTTCCTAGAGAAAACACTTATAAACGCAACATTTTCTCTTTAGCCCTTATAAGCAACTTCTTTCCACATTTGGTCCTTCAATTTTTTCCTAGCAGCCAATTCCACATTTTGCTTTTGCTTATGTAAATTCAACATTTGCCACATCCTACGACTAGTCAACTACGTTCTATCTTCTTATTCTAATAAAATAATAGTTTTATTTTCTTTTTGACATGTGTCATCACATTAGGCCTCATAATTAATACATGTTTTTTTTATCATCTGTCACCTAATTTTATCTCCTAATTAATGCATGTCACTTATCAACCTATTTATTCTCCATTTCAAATTCAAATTTTAAATTTTTCACTCTAATTATATTAAGTTAATAATATTAGAATAAAAATTAAAATAAAATTAATACAAATTATAAAGTGATATGATTTTACATATTTATTTAAATCAATGATTATAATTTTATATAACTAAAAAAATTCTCTTAATTAATAATTTATTTAAGATAAGTGATTAATAATTTTGAGTTTTTACTATTAAAATTTAATTAATTTTGTAACCGTGGTTCCCACGGGTTATAAACCAGTTATATTATACATTTAAACTAGGTTATAACCCGTGAAAACTACGGTTAACAAAGTAAAAAGAATATTGATATTTCAAAACCATAATCATTAATAAATGATTTCAAACGGTTATTAACTTTCAAAGTTAGATGATTTATAGTCACTTTATAATTGTTGATTTAAATTAATACATAAAATGGTTTGAAGATAACATTATTTAGGTGTAGATTAATGAAAAAAATGACAATGTTATATAATGAAATATATAATTTTAATAGTCTAGAAAAAACCAACACAGTTAATCATGGAAATGCAATTGCTATATGACAAAACTAAAATTAAGTTATTGTAAAATTATCTTGTTGTCTTTAAAAAGACTTTGTATATAAGAACAGTTTATTGGAACATCACACTGGTCTACTACTTGAAATGGGAAAAGTAAAATATATTACAACACCTAGTCAATACTAATTAAATGTTTTTCTCTTAACCCCTTTTGCCATTATAAAAAGATTATAATTCTTATAAAAAGATATATTATTTTTTATTTATTTAGGGCAGTGTATTGGAACTTGAATTACAAGGTGTCAAAAAGAAATTCACCATGTTTCAAGATTTTACATTTCTTTTCAAAGAAAATGATCAACATAATCAGGTTTTAAATATAGATTTCTTATTTTTATCAAATTCTTATTTGCAAACTTGACCTGTACGTACACCTCACACTGTTGCATTAAAGCTTGTTGCCGATACTCCTCTGCTTTTAATATACATTTACATCATTGACCATTATACCCCTTGATTATATAATCATCTGTTTTATGTAGATGTTGAGTTTGTAATGCTAAAGACATTAACAATCATACAAAATATAGTCTCCTCCAATTTGTATCCAAATTATACACTCAAAGTTGACCCAGCTTTCTCCTGCAGTTAACATAACAACAAACGCTAGATAGGGTACATCATGTTCAATTGAATATACACAAAAAAGGCTGGATAAAAAATCATAAAAACCATGTCAATTTTTAGTCCAAATCATCACAACTATTTTGTAACTTCTAAAAAGATTAAACGCATTTCATTTTCATCATGTTTCAACCCATCAAACCTAAAAGGAAAATAAAATAAAAATTAAAGATTTTTAAAGTTCTATTTCGAGTTATAAAAAATATATGTTGTATGCAGATAATCTTCTACACTGATTGGGCAATTAAAATGAACACAAAAATCGTTCATTAGCCAACGAATTATAACCGTAAAAAAGTTCTGTTCACCATTCAAATTATATTGTTATGCAAGTCATACCAATTTGACAATTTTATCATCTTCTTTCCTTCGAAGATATCATGCAAGTATTAAGTGGAAATAAACAATGAGTATAACTCAATAAAGACATAAAAGTCAAACACTTATCGTGCATCAAAAAATATATGAGAAAGCCTTAGAACTTAAATCCACTGTGTGGATCAAACATGCACCAAAGTCAGAAATTGGTTGCAAACAAATCTATTTAGACGATTTCAATGATACTTATTAAAACAAACCTAAATAAATTAAATCAACTAACATTGCATTTTGAAAGTGGACCTTCGTCACCAGTAGAAGATGGTGTCAGTACCAACCTTAAACAATCCTAAACAAATTATATATATATTTCCATCACGAACATTTCCTTTAGAACTGTAGGCGTTAGATTTCTGAATCAAGTGAACAAAATAATTAGTAATTTTAAACATATGTGAACAAAATTAATTATATATTTGAAAACATATGTGATATATTGTGTATGCAAATTTAAGTTGTAGTTAGGGTACTTGTTTGGAGAGAAATTCAAGTGTCATATGTATAAATACTTTACTCAAATCGTCATGATCAACTCCAAATAATTAATGAAAGTACATTCATGATTTCTTATGTTTAAGGTTTAACCCAATTTCTTTATCAGAACCAACTAACATTCTCTTACAGATCCTTTTTCATTATTTAGCATACCTCCAAAATAACCATTTATGAAATAACACAAAAAAAAAACAGTACCTAATAGTCTGAAACTATGGCCATCAACTAACCACCATGTACCCGTCTCCTCCAAATTTGCTGCATTTAATGACTCATTATGGCCTCTTAATTTGTCTATTATAGAAAGCATCAACAAAATAGAATGAATCGATTAATAAAACTTCTGAATTTATTAAAAAAAAAAATGAGAACAAAGATTTCGAAATTTCTCTTTTCTCACCCTTTTAGTTTGAATCTCAACTCATATTGCATCTCAGAAGTCTTTCTTCTTATCAACTTACAACTAAGAACTTCCAATATGATCTTGAAACATTGCATCATTGAATCTTGGAAACCTAGATAAGAAATTATATGTTAGTACGTCACCTTCTTCAATATGTGCATCAAGAGGTCACTTGTGCTTTTAACAACATAAACATTTTTCACCGAATTTGTCGTATGATTTCATACTCTCCTGTAGGAAAGTTAATAGTTTTTCAATCTATTGCTGGCTATTTCTTTTTGACTTAATTCCAACAGAAAGGTCTTAATGTGTTAAGTCAAAAAAGGATGCTCAATGAGTTCGGTTGTCCTATATTCCAACAACATTATGATTAACTATTATGTTCTGTTTAATTTTTTTTTATAAATATTAAGATTGAATAAATAATGATATATAACAAAATTTAAACAAACACTTTTTATAGAAGGATAAAATGGACATTTACTCGGATTCAAGCAGCTCACCCGATCTTAAATAAAACCATTTTTATATAAACAAAACTTTAATCGTTATCGATATAGGAGTTAATGGGGAGAAGAAACATACCTTAATACTCGAATTCAGTAATTCCCAAAGCAGACACATTCAAAGAGAATGAGAAGGGATCAAAATAGGTTCTAAAAGTTCAGTACAAAAGTTAAATTTTGATTTGTAGATGTCAAAGTAATCACTCTTTATGATTTTGTTTAAAAGCTTCGTATCATAACATTTAACTTTTTCCAAAAAATATTTACATATGAGGAAGAGCGATTATTCCATTTTAAGTTGATTTTGAAATTTCAACAAAATCGTGGTAGAAGTACCTCAAGAAAAGCCCTTATAGTTTTAGTTGGTCAACTATAGCATCATTAGTCTAATCCAGTTCTTCATAATTACGTCCTTTAAATTTTCCTTCTCGTTTAATTTTGAAGCCCAAGATAGAACTTATTTGCCAGACATTTCATCGAACATGTGGAGGTCATACAGATGAACATATACCATTCATCTTCAGGTATGATATTGCAAAGTAAAATCCTACAGAAAACAAACAACATCAATATCATAAAGAATATCAAGAGTAAATGAAACACCAGCCCTAGAAGCACGATATTCAACCAGTTAGGCACATAATGAAACATGAACCCCAGAAAAATAATATTCATATTAAGTTGATGGCATCGAGCCATTTTATGCTAGCAGATAATTAATAAGCAAATACATAAATCACAAAAATAGCAAATAAAACCAGCAAAAAATTAACATCAAACCTAATATCAATTTGCTTGAATCCTAAAAGTGAAAAAAAATTACCTTCAATGGAGATTGAGTAGAATAAAAATCAGCAACACTATGAAAATTATAGAATACAAAATCGCTTGAAGCCGTGCAGAAGCAGAACTGAGATGCGTTTATGGAAGCTGCGATTTGTCGAAGGAGGCTGCGACGTTGCGTTTAGAAAATAACAGTAGATGATGAAACAATAGAACATAAGACATCGAATATAGACAAAGGGGGGAGTTTTGAGAGATAGGTGTCGAGACGGAGAAAATCAGGATTCAAAATTGAATCTGATAAGGAAAGGGGAGAAGTATTGGGGATTTAAAATTGAATGTATAACTCATCTCCTCAATTACAGGGATAATAGGTGATTTTGTTTCAATGAGAATCCTACTTTATAGGATCACATTAAAGGCTAAAGATTAAATATTTAAAGTTTAAAGATTAAGGATGAACGAAGCATATAGGCGGGAATTAGAGGGAAAACTCTACCAAATATGGCAAATTGAATTTGTAGATAAATGCAATGTGGCATGTTTAAGACTGTTTTATTAAAAGAGAAGATATTTATACTAACCCTCCACTCCTATCGAATTTATTATTTTTATATTACATGAATATTATTATCTATATTTAGATAATTTTAATTATATAATAATATTATTAAGTAACCGTGACCATAATAATAAAATATATATGCTGTGTATTATACTCAACCAAATTCATTTTAATTGTTTTCTGTTTTTATTGGTTTAATAATATAAATAATTATAATATTAATTTCTTTTGATTTTTATTTTTAGAGAATTTCGTATATACCCTCGTTAAACATTAAAATATCATATTTATCCAATTTAATTTCTAAATATCATATATATATCCTTCATAAACATTCAAAATATCAAATTTATCCAAATCCTTATTTTTAATATTTTTAAACATATTATAAGCATTTAAAAATCCTTATTTTTAAGGATTGACTATTATACCCTTTAGGGATGAGCAGAACCGGGTACCCGACCAAATATATTGGAACCGGAACTGGAACCGATTATATTGGTTCCTAACGTTTTGGAACCACTCCTAGAACCGCCGGAACCGGTTCCGGATACCCGCTTGCTAAATTTTTTTAAACTAAATTTAGCTTTAGAAACAAGTTAAAGCTTATAAAACCTGTAATATATAAAAAAAGATTACATAAAATCGAAGTTTAAGAGAATTTTCTTTGAGAATCAAAAAGGTTACCACAAAATAAGATATCATCTTTACTACCTGCTCCCTTATTCGTTCCTTTATATAAGCATAAGATAAGATACATGTATTTTGTAATAACTCACGCGATATGGGATACTTTCTTAGGCTGGAGGGTGTGGTGCAACCGAAACCGCACTCCCTCCCCCGCCACATCAGTGTCATGTCATTTTTTACCACACAAGTATGGTTTCTTGCCACACCAAAGGAGTGGTGCCACACTTTCAAAAGGCAAAAAAGAAAAAATAAATAAATAAATCAATTCATTTATGCCCCCAACGGTCACACCCACCAACAACCAATCACAAACCATGGTCTTCAAGGACCGCACTGCGGTCTTGGCCGCACCTAACCGCACCCTGGGGGCAGTGTTCCTTGGCCACGTGTCACCGTCGCGGTTCCAAACCGCATCCCACTCCGTGAAGCCTTAAAACCAATGTTTATCCTTCGTCACTACAACAACGCCGATGATAACAACCACTACATAGGCATGGACATTGAAGTTAATATATATGGTTTTTGCTTCCTTAAAGCAAATTAATATATTGCCATTTTTCTAATAAGTTTATGCATACATATTATGTAATGATTTCTTTCTCAATTCCTCTGATTAGTCGTTTATCCCACGTTTACATTTATAATGACAAATTTCTTTTATTATTTTAAAATTACCCACCGTCACAATTAAACTACATTTTTTATATAAGAACTTTTAAGTTTTTCTTTATTGAAAATAACAACTATAACTTAAAACTTCCAACAATTATATTATGTACATATAACATATCGAACGAATAGAATAATGTTATATATATATATATATATATATATATATATATA